GGATCATATAGCAAGTCTATTTTTAGTCTTTTGATTTATACTGCTTTCCATAATGGCCGCACCAAACTACATTACCACCAACAGTCTAGGAGGGTTCCCTTTTCTCCACGTTCTCTCCAGCATTTATTGTTCATGGTCTTTTGAATGGTGGTCATTCTGACAAGTGTGAGGTGATACCTCATTGTAGTTTTGATTTGCATTTCTCTAATAGTGATATTGAGCATTTCATGTGCCTATTAGCCATTTGTATGTCTTCATTGGAGAATTGCTTGTTTAGGTCTTCTGCCCATTTTTGGATTGGGTTTTTTGTTTTTTTATTATTTAGTTGTATAAGCTTTTTATATATTCTTGAAATTAAACCCTTGTCAGTCTTATCTTTTGCAGGTATTTTCTCCCATTTTGTAGGCTGTCTTTTTGTTTTGCTTCTGGTTTCCTTTGCTGTGCAAAAGCTTTTAAGTTTAATTAGTGCCCATTTGTTTATTTTTGCTTTTATTTCTATTGCCTCAGTAGATTGCCCTGGGAGAGTATTGCTAAGATTTATATCAGATAAAGTTTTGCCTATGTTTTCTTCTAAGAGGTTTATAATGTCTTGTCTTATGTTTAAGTCTTTAAGCTATTTTGAGTTTATTTTTGTGTATGGTGTGAGGGAGTATTCTAACTTCATTGATTTGTATGCAACTGTCCAGTTATCACAACACCATTTAGCATTTTATCTTAATTTCCAAAGTGCTTAGAATATCATCATTGGGCTCTGAAGTCAAACCTGGATTTAGATCTTGGCTCTGCTTCTTATGGCTAAAGGTACCTTTGAGTAGATGACTAAATTTCTCTGAGCTTCACTTTCTTAACTGGTTAAAGATGGGAGTATAAGATTAAGGGTGAAATGATTTTGTGTATTAAGTGAAATAACATAAAAGCACTTATACTTTTGTTCTTGGCAACATAGTTGGCACTCAGATATAAGTTTATTTTGTGAAATGTTTGTTTTAGAAATAAAGCGTGCAGTTTTAAAAGAAGAGAGGAGAAGCTGGCAAAGCCTTTTATTAAAGCTGGACAAAGATGGAAGTGGCTTTTTAAAGGCAGGATATATGACATGTCATATTTGAACAAATTCTCATACATTTCTTGCAAGCAGTTCCCTTCTACCAAATGGTTGTTTCACAACTTTAAAAAAGTTGTGTGTGTGTACATATTATATATATTTAATATATAAACAGTTAACTCTTTATATGCTTTCTGCATGTTCCTGACTGTTTTTCCTGGTTCCGCTATTGTTTTTATTTAACTTTTTAAAAGTCAGATGAACTTTTTATTTAACTTTTTAAAAGTCAGATTTATTTAGGTATAATTTACACTCAGTAAAATTCACCCCTTTTAAGTGTACGGTTATAATTTTCATAGATGTATGTGGTCATGTGATCACTACCTCAGAATATGGACAATTTTCAACACCCTAAAAAGTTCTCTCCTGCGCCTTTGTTACTGCCCCATCCCTAGTCTCTGGCAACCACAGTTCTTATAGTTTTACCTTTTCCAAAATGTTGTGTAAATGGAATCATACAGTATGCAGCTCTTGCTGTCTGGCGTTTCATTTAGTGCAAAGCTTTTGAGAGTCATCCATGTTGTTGCATGTATTCCTAAGTTACTCCTTTTTATTACTGAGTACTGTTCCCCAGTATAGATGTATCAAAGTTTGTTTATCTATTCACCAGTTGACAGATTTATATTTCCAGTTTTGGGCTACCATATGTTTGTTTATTTTTGGAGGAGGTACTGAGGGTTGAACCCAGGACCTTGTGCATGCTAAGCATGCCCTCTACACTTGGGCTATATCCTCTGGGCTACCATATGTAAGGCTGCTAAACAGGTCTTTGTGTAAAGGTCATGTTTTATTTCTCTTGGGTAGGTACCTAGGAATGAAATTGCTGGGTCATATTGTAAGTGTATGTTTAACTTTATGAGAAACTGCCAAACTATTTTCCAAAGTGGCAGTACCAGTTTGTACTTCTCCCAACAATGTAAGAGAATTTCAGTTGCTCAGCATTTTTGTCAATACTTGTTTTTTTGTTTTGTTTTTTATCTTAATTATTCTAGTAGATGTATAGTGATATCTCACGTGGTTTCAATTTGCATTTTCCTAATGACTGATGATGTTATATATCTTTTTACCTGCTTGTTATTTATATCTCTTTGGTGATGTGTCTGTTCAGATTCTTTTTTTCTGTTTGTCTTTTTTCTTTTTTTTATTGAAGTGCAGTTACAATGTGTCATTTTCTGGTGTACAGCACAATGTCTCAGTCATGAATATACATGCATATATTCGTTTTCATATTCTTTTTGATTAAATATTATTAGAATGTATTGAATATAGTTCCTGTGCTATACAGAAGAAATTCGGGGTTTTTTTTAATATCTATTTTTGTATATAGTGGCTAACATTTTCAAATCTGGAACTCCCAAATATATCCCTTCCTAACTCTGTTTGTCTTCTTAATATTGAGTTATAGAGGGTCTTTGTATACTCGATGTCATAATTTTAGATGTGTATTTGGCAAATATTTTCTACCAGCTTAACAGATTGATTTTTGTTACTATCATTAGAAAATAAATTCTATTTAAAACTTCTTTGAATGTATATTTTGCTGACTTTTTGCTCTGAATTCTTGGGAATTTTTGAAGCTTATTTACTTCTTAGAATACTTTGCAAAGTTACCAGCAGTACTATTAGTTTTTTTCCTAGGTTATACAGAGGCAAATTTTCTTAAAATTAAAAAAATTTTTTTCTTTTTTATTTGGGTCTACAGTGGCACACTGCCATTTAATTAAAGCAACAAAACTTTAGATTTAAAATTACAAGCTGACAACTCATCATGTAATGAATTCACCAGGGAAGCTGGTATTACTGTTGAGTTTCTTCCTTGGAGTAAGTGCTGTGTAGGCTTGATCTCTGTCCTTTCTTCATTTAAGGAAGGAAACCATGGCTGACAAAGAGAATGAGATACTCTCTTAAGTCCCCATGTTAGAGAATACATATTATCCAACAATTACTGCTTTTAAAAATACACTTTCCTCCCCAGTACCTCCTCTAAAAAATAAACAGACAAACAAGCAAACCAACGAACCAACCAACCAACCTAATTATCCCCCCAAAAAGAAAAAATAATAAAAATTTTTTTAAATTTCAAATTTATATAAATAAGTAAGTAAATAAATAAATACACACACACATACATACATGCACTTTCCCACTAGTGAGGATTTATTACTTAAAAAAGAGAAAGAGTATTTAAAAAATTGATTATAAGGAACCAAGAGACCAAGAAGTCATGACCAGTGGAAGCTCATCCAGAAATTGAGGTGGTCTCTAAAGTAATATCTCTAAAGGAATAATGTCTTGAGGATGGGAGACCTGGTTGGGTAATAAGTCCTGAAAACTTATATATAAACACAGTTTTGTAAAGTGAGGTTTTCTCCTGCGATGGAAAACTTCACATCATTTCATTTGGCTTTTAAAAAATTAGGAAATTCATCCAGGTAAAGATTTATCTACTTTTATCTCCTTGCCCATAAAAAGAGTAGTAAACGGGTTGAAAAGTTTTTAAAGGGAGAATCAGGTGAGGAGACAATAGAAGACAGCATTTTAGAAGCTAGAAAACATGGGCAAGTGCTAAGTGAGTTACTAGATCTGAGAAATCCAAGTCCTAAACTATGAGTTGGGAAAACTGTGAACAAAATTTATATCATAATTATACAGTACTTTAGCAGTACAAGATAACTCTTGAAATGAGAGGATGGAAGTTGTAAATAAGGAAGATGAGTCAAATATCAGTTTAAAAAACAGTTAGTTACATCCCCAGATTTTTCTACCACAACTGTAGGCAGTTGGGTGATAAACCCACCCCCAACTTGACCAAAGATGGTGGGTTTATCTTTTTAGGGTGGATAAAATAGTGATTTCTGGGCTGGGGAGTGGGGAAATAGGCCATAGAAAAAAATTGAAAGCAAGGAATCATACTGAATAGAGGGGGATTGAAAGAAGTATGCAGACTGAATACCGAGACCTCACTCTACCCCATCCCACTCCTGTCTCCCACTTGGCTCCCAAAACATGAGCTAACAGACTTTTATCCTCAGGGCAGTAGGTTGCTGGAGTCTTCTCTAGAGAATTTGACTAGCTCAAGAGGAAAGACCTAAAATAGTATTAGAGCTCCCCCATCAAAGTAGCCCAACCAGATTATCCTGCAGTGAAGCCCATCTTTGATAAACTACTCGTAGTCTTACAGCTTCCAGTCAGCTTTTAGATCCCTCATTTTAAAAAATGAACAATCAATAACTAGCAGGCATGTGAGGAAAGTTTTCAGTATGAAAGAGATCAGGAGAATAAATGCAATATTAGGCAACAAATTACTCAAATATTCCACCAAAAAAAAAGAGGAAAATTTGTTAGTATTCTCAAAGAGATTAGAAGAGTATTTGAAATCAATTATCCAAAAAACTATACAGTAAAAAAGGAAGAGGATAAAAAAGAACTCTTAGAAATTATAAGTATGGTTACAATGATGAAAAAATCAGAAGGGTTGGAAGATAGAATTATTGACACTCCCCAAAAAGTAGAGAAAAAGAAAAAAGGATAGTGAATAGGGGAAAAGACAAAATTAAGTGAGTCATCCAGGATTTTTAATATTTGAACAAAGGGAGCTTCAGGTAGAGAGAACAGAGAAGAAAGGAATCATCAATAAAAGAATGCAAGAAAAACTTATAGAAATAAAGAACATGGGTTTTCACAGTGAAAGGGCCAAGGAAGGCCCAACATAATGGATTAAGGAAAAAAAAAAGGTAAAAGACCCATTTTGGGGTGAGTCAGACCACTGAGAAGGAAGAAGATTCTGGATGCTTCCAGAGGGGGAAAAAAACAAAGCATAAGGATACAAAGTAACTGTGGACCTCTGAAGAATAACCCTGGAAATTAACATGCAATAGACCATGCCTTCTTCTGAAGAAATATTTTCAACAGTGAATTCTTTATCTAGCCAAACCACTAAGGACGTATAAGGGCAGATAAAAGCATTTTAAAATAGGAAGGTCTTAAAAATTTACTTCTTGTGGCTTTTTAAAAATATCCTGCTTTAAAGATGCATAATCAGATACCTACAAATGAAATATGTTTTGAATGTGCTTCAGAATAATCTGTTTAGTAAGGCATGAATTAGTAGGGGGTACAGATGGAACAGAAATGACTATGAGTAAATAATTGTCGAAGCTGAATAGTGGTTTATGGGGTTCATTAACCTATTTATTTTTGCATATGTTTGAAATTCTCATAATAAATAAAAAGCCATATTAACATTCTATAAACCTTTCTTTTGGAAGATATGCCACTTCAAAATAAGGAAGTATTAAATAAGAAGAAGATAGGCAGAAAACATTGTTTTCAAAGTGTGATCTCCAGGCCAGTAGCATCAGTATCAGCTGTAGACTTGTTAGAAATTCAAATTCTCAGGCCTCACCCCAGACCTAATGAATAAGAAGCTCCGGTTATGAGGTCCACCATTCTGTCCTAAATCAACCCTGGGGATGATTCTGATGTGTGCTGAAGTTTTAGAACACTCTCCTAAAGCAAGAAGAATAGCTGTAAATGATACATCCATAACAGTTATGAGGCTGGCCATAAAAGGCCAAAAAGTGGGTGATGGCCCAATTCTTGGGGATCCAACCCTTCCTTAAAGTAGTTGGAATAATCCCCCCACTTGTCAGCATATGATATTACCAAGTCCATAAGTACTAACAACCCTGACACCCCAGGGCCTCTGGCCTCTCTCTCTTGCCTCCGAGATGGCTCAAACCCTGTGGAGTGTGTATCTCCCTGAATAAATCTACTTTCACTCAAAAAAAAAAAAAAGAGGAACAATAGCTGTGCTCAAGTAAAACATGCAATGACTGATGAATTATTCCATCTAATTTTCTTAACTGCTTTCTTTCTGGACTTTGATAGTTGATACAACATTTAGCTCAATGAAGTGGTTATACATAAAGGCACAGAAATGCTATTATTGCTAGCAATCTGAATGGACAATGTATGTAGAAGTTTTAGACTTTGGGAAACAAACGATTTAGTGATTGTCTCAGAAATGAAATAATTCTAAGAAGAAATGAACATACTTTGTACCAACCTAGCTGTTTTTCTAACTGATACCTTAACATTCTCTCCTAACATTGCACAACGAATTCCCCATTATCTAGAATACAATATCTTTTCCTCCTTCCTTTATCAAATGCCTGTCTTTACTCTGGGCTTAACCTAAACCACAACTTTTCAAAGAATCATTGTCTTTTTGTCTTAACTATAAAATTTTTAAAAAAGAAACATGGACTGCACAACTTAATGTGGTAAGCATTGTGCTAAGTATTTTGCATGTCAACTCCGTTAGTTGTCATAATAATCTCCTTATATCTAATCAAATAAATATTATATTATACTGTATTTTAATCTTTTCAAATATGTGCTTTTATCTACCTTTGATTCTTGAGAAAAAATAATTGCCCACTCCTATGTCTAGGTGGAAGGATTTCCATT